CTTAACCTTCATCCGGTACCCCAGTGGAGATCATGCAGGCCATTTCCTCACAATGCTGTGTGCTTGGCTGTCACACTGACCCAATGGCTTTCCAGAACAAGCATGCAGTTCCTAAGGCAAATGGAAGGAAGGGTCTACTACGTACACCCTTGGCACTCCGGCTCGGGAGGAACTACAAGTACCATCATGCCTTTGCCTCTGGGGGTCATGCCTGTGACTGTCAATGTCTCATGGCATTGCCGGGTGCCTCAACCAGAATGTTGCATAGTGCATTTGGGATGCAGCTGCCACTGGTCTAAAATACTTTTCCAGCCAGTCCCCGCCATGGAAGAAGGGTACACGAGGCAACGCTTGACTAACGCAGGCAGCAGAGGCTCTTCTGCATCCAGCGCTGGTGGGAACGAAGCCTGAGGATGGTCATGGTGTGATCAATACAAGCCGGGGAGCAGATTCAGGCGCTGTCCAGGACAGTCCGTAGTGTAGAGGTTAACGTGAGAACAATCCATTGAGAAGAGCCTTAGTCCACTCCTGAATGTTCTGCTGTGTGGTTACCAAAGCGCAGCAAGGCGAAGAAGTCCATTATATACAATGGTGCCTGTTCACACCTGAGCGTCATGTTGCGTGTTCCATATATGAGCTTTTTTCCGGGCAGAATTGTGTTCTTCAGACCTCATTGGGAGCGCCTGAAAATCATTTTAGACCAATGGCGGCTGCATTCCAAATGTGTTGTGCGATATTCATTTCTTGTGCGTTTTGACACCTGACAACTGTCCCCTCCCCTTAGTAACTAGCTTTCCATTGGCTAAAACCAAAACGCTCAAGCCTAAAAACGCGTGAAAAGCGCACAAGACACGCAAAAACATGCAACAAAGCTTGAACTTGAGTGTGAATGGGGGCTTATCCCGCAGGTGTAAGGCACCTGAACGTGGAAAATCGCAGTGGGTTTGCTATGATGAGGGATTATGGGAGGGACTCGCGTAGATCCAATCGCACTCCTGACCGGATTTGTAGCCCAAAGTAATGGGTGGGTGCTGAGATGATGGATTATGGGAGGGGTCTCCAATCTCGGCGAGAGACGCAGGTAGCAATATATTTCAGTGGTGCACGCCTATACGAAAGCATATTTTTAAGTGACAAAGGTTTTCACTCACATCATAGTTCTAGCCGACCTGTGACAATGAGACTGTCACAGGTCGGCTCAGTAGATCGGGAGGTGAGCGAACACATACCGGCGTCCGCTCACTTCTCGATCCTATCACGGCTCTCTGCCGTGACAGGGGAGGGGATGGATTCCCCCCTCCCTGCTCCGATCCAACAGCGCTGACTGGCGGAACGGACGAGGGAGGGGGCGGGTACAGCTGGCTCTGCCTCTAGATAGGCAGAGCCAGCTGTCAGTCACGCAGCTGGGCGGATCCCGGCACAATTGTCAGGATCTGC